CTCAGCGGTCCCCCGCGGGTCCTCGGGAACCGGCCCCAAGCTGCAGGCGTGGAGGGTGTCCTGGGCCCAGCACACCCGCGGTGCACAGGACGCACCCGTCCGTCCGACGTGTACCTGATCGAGGAACAGATGGGGACAGAGCCAAAGGAGGAACGTCGGGGTTCTCTGCGCTCTTATTCCACACGAGCTCAAGGAGAACCTGCTACGAGCCAGTTCCCCCTACAGCAACCACGAGTGCCAGACGTCTCAGGACGGCCCTGGCCCCCACACAGCAGTACTGAGTGACGTCTGTGCCGGGCACTGGGCTGGAAACGGGGCATACGAAGACCAGTAAATCAAGCAGGGAGAGAAGGGAGGAAGACGAGGGTGCCCATCCCAAGATGGCAAGGGCAGCAGTGGGCATGGGGCTACAGGAGCACAACGCTTAGGAGGGAGCTGGGAGAACGGGACGGGCCTTGGACAGCCCTCCCGTGTGTCAGCCTCAGGCACTTGGACCTGACTCTGTGGGCCCAGGGCCAGCAGCAAACTGTTTTCAGTCGATCAGCTCTGAAACCCGCAGCCCCGCTGTGCGCACGGGTTAGGTGGCCGGCCTGAATGCCGGCTTGGCACACACTTGCTGGCACTGGCTTTGGCCACTGAAAAGATGAGGCCGTGTGAAGCAAGGCGTTGCTAAACACCACACTGCCAACAAGATGCATCTCTGAACAGAGGCCACCTCAGCCGCAGCTCATCCTGCGTGGCCACTGTGCTGCCCCAGGGCCCCGCTGGGCTCCGGAAGGCCCTGGCCCAGTTTCCCGTGACCCCTCTCCTGGCAGCTTCCCCAAGAGCCGCACCAGGGCTGGGGCAAGGCGGGGCCGTGATGCAACCACACTTTGTAAAACCAACATCCTGGGCCTTCCACTCACGACAGACACTCCTGGGGGAGCCCACTGCGCAGTGACACCACCATTGCTCAGAGGGAGGAGGGGCGCCCTGGAAGCTGCCCTCCACGCCTTGGCGAATCGCTTGGATCATCGCAAAGACGGCCCACGCTCAGCCTTGGAGGGCGGATCGGAGCGTTGGAAACACCCAGCACAATTCAAGGGCAAGGCTGGAGTCCCGGTGACTCGGGGTGGAGCATCCAGATGTCACCAGAGTGTCGCGTGACTGCTCCCCACCGCCCAGGCGTCCCGCGGGACGGCCCTGGTGCGGCTGACATTGCGACCCTCACTCCACACTCAGCTCCCCCTACGCCTCTGGAAGAAATGTGAAGCGGGCCAGGACCACGCACATGCGCTAAAACACAGACCCGGTTTCCAGAAAGTTCTACGTCACACATCCCAGTACCAAGGACGCGGTCAGAGAAACGGCTCTGACTCCTCTTTTATGTCACTTAAATCCCTCCAAGAAGGGTGCCTCCCTGAATCTGTAGTCGTTCTATGCGGGTACTTCAAAAATTCACGGCAAATTAAAAGATAGGCTGATTGTGGTGCACGGGTTTTGAAACCCAGTTTTTTCATCATATTTTCCAGAAACCTTTTGACATCCTCTCCCACACCTTCATAAGCTCTTTCATGGAAATACGTTAAGAAAAAAAAAAAAAAGCCTGGCATCAGACGGGCCCTCGTTTTTGGTTCGGAAAACTTTGGTCAGAGGATCCCCACGGGGCCGCATCTGTACCGGAGGTCAGAGGCACGCGGGAGGCCCACAGGGCGCCTGGAGCCGGGGAAGGCCAGGAGGCCGGGGCAGCAGCAGCGAGGTGCTCAGGTCCCCAGGGAGGCTGCGCGTGGTCCGGAACTCAGGCGCGTGGCGTCGGTGTTTTTACTCACTTCCTGTACTGCTCCTGCAGAAAACACAGACCTCCCGTCGGGCCTAAGCGTCACGCCCAGGTGTTTGGCATCACCGACTTCCCAAGGAGCTGCTGCTTTTCTCTTTAGGGGAAAAACCAAACCGGCCGAGGGTGATGCAGTGGACTTTGAATAAGACCTGGTTGAGTCAGCACTGGTTACCTCCCGAATCCAGATCGGAGTCGGTCTCTGACTCAGCTCCGCTGACTCGCAGACCCACCGCCACCGGGCCCTGCCAAGAGTGCGCCTGCAGCCGGCCGGCACTCCCGGAAGCAGGCGTCTTCCCTCGCTTCCGCTTCCCCAACCAGGTCAGATGGGTCAAGGGCAAGGCCCGGCCTTCCCCAATGAAGGTGCCTGTACGCGGGGCCAGCAAGCGTACGTCCGCGTGGGTTGGCCGAAGCGCCTGGTGCGGGCCGACAGGCCCGTGAGCAGCTCTGTGTACAGCTAACGGACAACCCGGCTCCCTCAGCGAGGACTTGCCTCTAGGCTCCCAAGCTGAACAGAGACCCCCGTATGCCAGACGTCTGGTCGCCTCCACTGGGATGAGGCCACGTAGCTGAGCAGAGTGTAGAATGACTGACAGACGGAGTGCCCCAGGGCACTGCGGCCCCCTTGGAGCCTTCCAGGAAAACTCAGGTGTTGCTGGGGCCAAATATTCCTTCACAGCGAGGGGACGAGGCTCCCGGTCAGAGCTGTCCCACGGAGCAGGAGGAGCTACGATCTCTGATGGCTTCTGATCTTGGGGCTTGGGAAGAATTAGGTTCGTTAAGAGTGGTGATAAAACCGTTCTTCGGCCTGGCCGCCGGGACTTGGCACTCACTGGTTGCTCACAGACTCCAGGTCAGGCCCCGGCTTGCAGCCCCGACAGCCCACAGGAGTGAGGTTTCAGTCCCGGCCGCTCTGGTTCTGATCCGGCTTCCTGTGGACGTGCCGGGGAAAGCAGTGCACGGCCCAAGGGCTTGGGCTCCTGCAGCCACGTGGGAGGCCCACGTGGAGTTCCAGGCTCCTGGTTTGGGCCTGGCCGGGGCCCAGCCTTTGCTGCCATTTGGGAAATGACCCAGTAGGTGGGAGATCTCTGTTTCTGTCTGTACCTCTGCCTTTCAAATAAAGAAGTAAATCTTTAAAAAAGAAATAAATCAAGTCGAGCAGGGAGCCCGAGGGAGCCGGTGGCTGCCCGTCACGTGCTTCCTCGGCATCTTCTGCTCTCGCTCCCAGCGTCCCGTTCAGCTCCGGGGCGCTGAGCCTGCTCCTAGCGGAGCGCGACCATTTACTCACGCATGCGTGCGGGCATTAAGTGTCCACTGGCAACGCCCCGGGCCGGCTGTGGGCACCCACACCTCACAGTGACCCTGAAAGCACAAGGCCAGGGTCACCCCCCCCCCAGCCCACCCCCAGGGTGGGACCCAGCCCAGCAGTTGTCAAAGTGCTCGGGGCTTCTCCAACCAGGGCTGCCGGGGCGGGCCCGTCACCGCCCGCTCCCGGAGCCCCGAGCCCCCAGGCGGCTGCGGCCATTCTCAAGGCCACGCCGGCGGTGGCCCTCCGCACGTTCCGCCGCTGAGGGCCGGCGGCCGGGCCCGAGCGCGCCCCGGGCCCTCGCCGTCCCCTTTTCTCCGCCCTCGAGGCGCGGAACGCCGAGTGGAGGCACACTCTCGCGACGGGGCGGGCGGCGGCCGACATCCTGCGGCGGCCATGTGCCTCAGCGCCCGCCACACACACGAGCGAGGCGGCCCCGCCGGCGCCCGACAGGGCCTGCGGCGGCGCGCGCGTGCGCATGCGCGGGCCGGCCCGCGGGCCGGGCGGGGCGCGAGGCCGGGCGGGCGGGGCGCGAGCCCCGGGGCGGGGCGGGGCGGGGCGGGCACGCGCGGCGCGCGGCGGCGCTGACGTCCGGGCGCCCGCGACCCCCGCCCCCTCCGCCCCGGCCCGGGTTGGCCGCCGCCGAGCCCCCGCCCCTCCTCCGGAGGCCTCCCGGCCGGAACCGATCGCGGCTGGTTTGAGCTGGTGCGTCTCCATGGCGACAGGCCGGCGCTATAAGTAGCGGCGCGGCGCGCCGTCGGGCTTTGTCAGTCGCTGCAGCCGCCGCCGCCGCCGGCCGCCCTCTGCCCCCAGCGCGGGCGCCACCTCGGCCGGCGTCTCCGGCGGGCGGCCGGGCGCTCCTCCGGCTTAGCATCGGGCGCTGGCGGCGTCTCCATGGGGCCGGCCCGCGGCGCGGGGGCGCTCTGAGGTGGGAGCCGGGCCGGGCGGGCGGGCGGGGGGCGGCAGGGCCACGTGCCCGGGGCCGGGGGGCGCCCGCGGGCCACACGTGGTCGCAGGCCCGGGCGCCCGGGGCGGAGCGCAGGACCGGCGGCGCGCCCGGCGCTGCCCTCGCTGCAGGCCCACGTCAGCGGCGGCCCCGGGCCGGAAGCGGCCGGGCAGGCCCCGGGGCTCCTGCAGCCGCTGCGCTCGCGGGGCCCGCGCGGCCGGCCCGGAGCAGGTGCAGGGCGGCGCCGCCGGCCCCGGCCGCGGCCCCGCGATCTGGAGGACCGGGGCTCCTTCTTTTCCGGCTTTCTGGCTGCGGGGACGGGTGACGCCGTGGCAGAAGCGCCCGGAGTCGCCGGAGACGGCTGGTGCGGGACTTGGAATGGTTTATTATCCGAGGGCTCTCTGAGCGACTTGGCTCAGGCCAACAGGCGCGCGTAGGAGCCAGCCTGAAAGTTTTTTTTTTTAAATAAGGCTGATCGTGTAGTTCGAGAATTCTGAGTAGTGGGTGGCAGCGTGGGGACGGGATGTGTGGCTCGCTTTCTTCAAGCCTCGAAGTGGACGGAGTCTACTGGACTCGGAGTCGCCGTGTGGACACGGGACCGGCTGGTGCCGGTGCGTGGACCGTTTAGCGCAGCGGCTGTTCCGGAAGGTCGCTGCGTAAGGCAGAGTTACTCTGGGACATCTCAAGCAAAGCTGTGAAAGATCCCGGAAAGCAAGATCCTAAACGGATTGTATTTCAGAAGAAACGAATGCTCTTTTAGTAACGCCTTTAAGTAAAGCCCTTAAGTAACGCAGCTCCTTTGGGGAGTTCGTTGTCACCGATACTGTGTAGCCAAAGTGGGTTTCCTGGCCGTGGCCTCTTCCCCGCCCCAGGGTGATTGAGGTCGACAATGCCAGGAACTCAATTAAACGGAGGCCGGAAGCCTGTTGTGCCACGCATGGGTTTGGATTGATGGCAGGTCCGTCCCCCTGGGCCTCTCATAGTGTCCCATGCCACAGCAAACGGTGGCCCCGAACCATTGCCGGCCTCTGTCCGTGGGTTGTTGGCACTGAAGCGGGTCGCACAGTAGGAAGAAGCCTCCTACCTGGCACAAGTCATGCAGGGTTCAAGTCAGGCCTTGAGGGGAACTCGATCACTGGTGTCGCGTTTCATGGAGTCCAAGGACAGTGGCTTTTATTGTTAGCAGCCTGACGTTCCGGCTTATTTTTATTATTCATAAAGTTTGCCCGCGTGATTACTCACGCTAAGCGAAACAAGAGTATTCCTAGGGGCGGCTGGGCTTCCCGGCATGGCTAACGGGAGGCAGCATCGGTTGGGGAACGCCGATTTCCAACCAGATAGCGGCAGCTGGAAGGCTGCTTGGCGCGTGAACACGAGCCGACAGGCGCTCGTGGTCGCGTGCCCTGGGTACTCCCGCGGTGCTGCGCTCTGTGAGGCGTGGGGAGGGTGGGAGTGCTGGCTGTGTCTGCGGTGCTGCCTGACGGTCTGGCAGGTGTGCTGCTTGGGGAAAGCCCGGTGTGGAGTCTGCCGTCCTGTTCTGGCCAGGGACCGGCAGCTGTGACGTGAGCCGGGAGGAGCTGGGATGCCGGTGGCAGCGAGGGGGCTGTCGGCTCTGGTGCCGGTGAGCGCTGCCTCCTGCGTGTGCCGTAAGGTGAACAGCGTCCCCTGTGTGCTCTGTCCCTCAGGTCCTGTGCACACTGCTCTGCGGGCACACAGGACCCGGACCCTGGAGGAGTGCCTCTGTGGGAAGCTGCAAGCAATTTCTCTGAGTTTCATCTCTTGGTTTTCCATGTGAGCGTTCAGATCCGTCTGCTGGAGGTGGGGTCGGGGCAGGCACTGCCGGGGTCTCTAAGGGCTCCCCTCCCGCTGCAGAGGGACATCGAGGAGCCATGAACAGCTCGAGTCATGAAGAGTTCGACTGCCACTTCCTCGACGAAGGCTTCACTGCCAGGGACATCCTGGAGCAGAAGATCAACGAAGTGTCGGCGTCTGTGAGTGTGCGGCCTGTCCTCGTGGGCGCTGGGGCCGGCCCAGCGGACGCGCCGGAGGGCTCCGCGGGTGGGGTGTTCCGCTGGCGTTGGGTTGTCCGGTGATGTGGGCGGTAGTGCTCGTGTCGGTGTCCAGACGGCAGGGCGGCCTGTGCCGGGGACACTGGCAGAGTGGGGCTGCCTGTCCGCGTGCGTGGTGTGCCGTGGCCGCTGGCGAGCTGACACGAGCCCCTCTGTATTTAGGATGATAAGGATGCCTTCTACGTTGCGGACCTTGGAGACGTTCTTAAGAAACATCTAAGATGGCTGAAGGCTCTTCCTCGTGTGACTCCCTTCTATGCAGTCAAGTGTAACGACAGCAGGGCCATCATAAAGACCCTGGCCACCATCGGGACCGGGTTCGACTGTGCCAGCAAGGTACACGGCCCTGTGGCTTCCCGCAGGGCAGCTGGGAGCCAGGTGTCCCGGGTGACCGATGCTCGGGAAAGGGGCGCCTTTCTGTTTCGTTAGCCACCTGACACTCCTCGTCTCTTGCAGACCGAGATACAGCTGGTGCAGGGCCTCGGGGTGCCCCCGGAGAGGATCATCTATGCAAACCCTTGTAAGCAGGTGTCTCAGATCAAGTACGCCGCCAGCAGTGGCGTCCAGATGATGACGTTTGATAGTGAGGTGGAGCTGATGAAAGTCGCCAGAGCACATCCCAAGGCCAGGTGAGGGTCCCTCCCTGGGAGGCGGGTCCAGGTGGGGTTGCAGAGTCTTGTCAGTGGTTGGACTTCGTGTTTAAGGAGACCGCCGTTTCACTTTGAAGATGAAAACCGTCATAGACGCGAGCTGGGGGATCAGAGCCGGTAGTTAGGCCGGGAGCCTCTGTGTTCTTTCGTGAGACGTTGATTTATTTTTCTTGATTCCAGGTTGGTTTTGCGGATTGCCACCGATGATTCTAAAGCAGTCTGTCGCCTCAGTGTTAAATTTGGTGCCACACTCAAAACCAGCAGGCTCCTTTTGGAACGAGCGAAAGAGCTCAATATTGATGTCATCGGTGTCAGGTGAGCCTCGGTGGCAGGGCTGGGCCGCTCAGCACCGCCAGCCTCAGGCTTTCTGCTTGTTGATGGGCACTTGGAGAAGCACCAGGGACACAGCGCTTCCTTTCTTTCCCGCCAGCTTCCACGTGGGAAGTGGCTGTACTGATCCGGAAACCTTCGTGCAGGCGCTGTCTGACGCCCGCTGCGTCTTTGACATGGGAGTGAGTCCATGCAGCCCCGGGAGTGACATGGGCGGGGGCGGGGCTTAGCCCCGGCTGCGGGGACACTTCTGAGCTCGCCACGAGTCTCCCCACCTGACTCTGTTGTCTTGACGCCAGGCTGAGGTCGGATTCCACATGCACCTGCTTGACATCGGTGGGGGCTTTCCCGGATCCGAGGACGCGAAGCTGAAGTTTGAAGAGGTAAGAGGTAACGTTGTTACGAAATTAGAATAGACAGCAGCTATGGTAGCAAGTTGGGCTAGATCAGAACCTAAGCTGTTTCAACTTAAGTTGGCACCAAAAGGGGCTAAGCGTAGTGTCTTGGCGTGATATTTGTGAGTGACTTCTACACTGTTGAAGTGGTGTTTCGTGCTGTTTGGTTTTCGGAGCTTTCTCTGAGGTCGCGGGTAGGCAGTGGCATGAAGGCGTGCTGTGCTGCTGGGGTGACTGGGAGCGCGCCGGCCTCATCCTCTGAGCGTCGGATCTGTTAGTCACCTTGCGGGCTGAGCCATTGTACGGCTGCTGCCTGTCAGGAGGGCAGAGACTTGGATCTGCTGGCGCGTGTGTGCTGAGTGGAGCGCACCCTGACACGTCACCTGCTAGTCATTTCTTTTGTGCATTCTCTGAAAAGTCGTGTTCACAACCTCTTAGAAGGGACGGGGAGGGTGTTTTCCAGAGGAGAGCCAACAAGAAACAACAGGGCTGTGCGGCCTGGTCTCCAGGGAGGTGCCGGCCTCCGCCGGTGCCTGCCTGTGGCCCCGTGACCTCGCCCCTCCACGTGGATCCCACGTAATGGCCGCTCTTGTCTCTCAGATCACCAGCGTGATCAACCCGGCACTGGACAAGTATTTTCCCTCCGACTCAGGAGTGAGGATCATAGCTGAGCCGGGCAGGTACTACGTGGCCTCAGCCTTCACTCTTGCCGTCAACATCATTGCCAAGAAGCTGGTCCTCAAGGAGCAGACGGGCTCTGACGGTAGGTGTCCGGCTGAGGGGCGGGGCGGGGCGGGAGTGCGCAGGGTGGTGCTGAGGCTCGCTGCCTTCGCAGACGAGGACGAGGCGAGCGAGCGGACCTTCATGTACTACGTGAACGACGGCGTCTACGGCTCCTTCAACTGCATCCTGTACGACCACGCGCACGTGAAGCCGCTGCTGCAGAAGGTACCCTCCCACCCCCCCCGCCCCGGGAGGCGGCTGGGACAGGCAGCACCCGGTGCGACCCGGTGCCACTGCTGTCTTCCTAGAGGCCCAAGCCAGACGAGCAGTACTACCCGGCCAGCATCTGGGGGCCCACGTGCGACGGCCTCGACCGGATCGTCGCGCGCTGCGACCTGCCTGAGATGCACGTGGGCGACTGGATGCTCTTCGAGAACATGGGCGCCTACACCGTGGCCGCGGCGTCCACGTTCAACGGCTTCCAGAGGCCCACCATCCACTACGTGATGTCAGGGCCCATGTGGTGAGTGTAGTGTGTGCACCGGGGACGCGCGCGCTCGTGCAGTAGGAGTCAAATTCACACAGACGGGAGGGAAGCTCCAGAAATACTTCCGTTGCAGACACGTCCCAAGAAAAGCTCTAGGGAGGGTCTCTGTGTGACTCTGCTGTCTAAGGGGTTTAGACGGCCCGTGGCCCCGAAGAAGGGCCCGCCGTAGGCAGCCCTTGGCTCGCCCGCTGCCCGTCCGTGTAAGCAGGAAGTGCGCCTGCGCCCGCCGCCGTGCTGGGCCCTGCCGCGCGCTGACACCCCGGGTCTGAGTGCCGATCCTTCCGCAGGCAGCTCATGCAGCAAGTCCGGAACCGCGACTTCCCGCCCGAGGTGGAGGAGCCGGACGTCGGCGCCCTGCCCGTGTCCTGCGCCCAGGAAAGCGGAATGAAGCGGCACCCAGCGACCTGCGCTTCGGCTAGTATTAACGTCTAGATACCACTCTGTAGCTGTTCATGGCGAGCGTAGCTTGAATTAAGGGATTTGGGGGACCATTTAACTTAATTACTGCTAGTTTTGAGAAGTCTAAGAGTAGGGCTGGCACAGCAATATGGAGGACGAGGAGATGGGGTCACACTTATCTGTGTTCCTATGGAAACTGAATATTTGTTTTATATGGATTTTTATTCACTTTTCAAACATGCTACTAAAGAGTGCCCCGCGCCTGCTGAGCAAGCGTTTGTAGCTTGTACCAAGGCAGGAGGGGCAGAAGCTTAGTGGTGTGACCTGTTTTGAAAATAAAGTATCTTGAAATAATTGGGCGTTGAGGTTTTTAGAGTGTCCGTTCCAGAGGGTCCGTGAGTTCCGTGTGGCTTTGCGTGGATTCTCACAAGCACTGTGGGTGGAAGGGAGCACACCGTCGGCCCACGCCACCCTGCGTGTCGGACACATGGTGAGGAGGCCGTGTGCCTGAGCTGTCCTGCCTCAGCCGGTGCCCGGGGAGAGACCCCTCCTGCCCACCTCAACCCCGGGACTTGTCGCGTGGCTCCAAGTTGGGAACCCAGCACCGTCGGCAGCCAGCGGGCGTTACCACCAGGGTGACCTCCACCACCTCGTCTGGGCCTGACTGTGGCCTTTGTCCTCCCACCCAAAGCCCTGTTACTGCAGGGGAGGACAGAAAGTCAGACACACGTTGCTGGAGTGTGGACCAAGGTTGAGGGCGACTTCCTGCCTTGCTCAAGGGAGCTGCATCCCTGCAAGGCCTGGGCCCCACATGGCGGCAGCCAAGCTGCACGGGTCTGGCTGTTTGCAGCCCTAGGCTCCTGGGCCTGGGGATGTGGCTTTAGCCAAAGCATGAGTGACAGTTCTTTGGCGCCACAAAGATGGATGACTGGGGTTGGGGGCAAGAGGAGGAGGA